ATCATCTCAGCGGTGGTATTCTCCTTGTAGTCCGAGCAAGTGATGGTGGTGCAGGTGGAATTATTATCCGTAGTACCGACGAAGTAGGGTGTGCCGTTTCAAGTGATGGCAGCGTAGCGAGCCAAGGTCGCGCAAGTTGTTGCCGTCACAGACGGGTAGAAACAGAGTGTTGACATGATCCATAACAGGAATTGGGGCCCCATTTTACGTTTCAATCGAGTTGATTCTACCCGAGAGATAAGGAAATGAAGCAGAGCTACTTTTTGTCGGAGCGGTTGGCTTGGTGATTATTGCTCGGTCAAGTATTCGGATTGAGATTCGCTGGAAGGGTGCTGCGAGGGCTTCGAGGTTACACCGGACTTAACCAGTGGATCACAGCAAAGAAAGGCATTTTGTTGGTACGTTCTTGTTCGAAGTACCACGCACAAACATTTGAGGTGCCTGCAAGCCATTACTGTTCAATTCTCTTGAATCCCATCACGCATTCGCGTCACGGGGCAGTTCAGCTTTGCTAACGTCAACGTCTCACAAAAAATATCATTGAGAGTCCCTTTAGGCGGTGCAGACTGTATTAATACTACTCTGAAGTATGAGCTCATCCACTTGGCAGAGCGACCAAGATATCTGTACTTGAGTTCCCGAGCTCTTCACATGATTTCTAGTTAATTAATTTACTTCTGTAGCCGATTGAGTCCGAGAAGGTTTTTCAACGACAGAATCAGTTGGAGCTTGTACAGTGCCTCTGCTGCAGTGGGGCGCTCTGTCGGATACACCGATGTGCACGCTCGACCAAGCTCTACTATCGCCTCCGGACAAGCATCAGAAAACTCGACTTTCACGATGCCCAACGCCACTCGCTGTAGCAAGATTGAGTCGGGTATGGGGTTGCCCTTCGCGTCTAAATTCTCTTTCTTCGCTGTAGCGTATGGTAACGAGTGGACGTCCAACTCAGACAGCACCACCCCGAAAGAGAACACATCCGCTTTGTCATCGTAGCGTTCGCCAAGCATAACTTCGGGCGCCATCCAGAGAGAAGTCCCAACGCCAGCAGTCATAGTTTTGTCGAGTCGTTCTCGAGATATTCCAAAGTCCGAAAGCTTCGCCTTCATATCACTGCTTAATAAAATATTCCTCGACTTGAGATCTCTGTGGATAATCGACGGTGACAGGGAGTGAAGATAAGTCAGGGCGTGGCAGACTTCCAGTGCAATTGTCGTCTTCTCTCTGGTGAATCCGATCGGGTGTTTGTCCTTCTCGTACCTGTCCAGCAACGCTCGTAACTCTCCTCCGTCCATGTACTCGAGCACGACGCAAATGTCCGACAATGAGTCCCACGCGACGCCAATGAAAGCTACAACATGCGGGTGGTCCATCGTTGCCGTCATCTTGGCTTCTGCTAAGAAATCTTTGACATGTTGGATCCTGCCCCGCATGGCAGGGAGCAACATCTTGACTGCGACTTTCCGTTCATTGTACGTTCCAGCGTACACCTCACCATACGACCCACGACTAATGAGCTTCTCAGTCTGCACTTTATCCCTCGGGATACGCTTAGCCGTAATGACATCATCGTTCCACAATCCCGTTTGTCCTCGAAGAATCTGCTCGAGCGAGTCAACGGTTGTAGGGGTCATACTTGACTCGAAGTGATCCTGCTTGTCTAGTGCTCGAGATCGAGCTTGACGTCTGCGAGCAATGACAGCGACAACAAGCACCACTGCAAAGCCAAAACCTCCTAATCCGATACCTGCAAGAGCCCCCGAGCTAAGAGTACTCCTGGTATTTCCTTGTTCCGAAGCTGCCGTGGCCTTGGCGTCGTTACTACTGTACCATCGGAACCAATCGATAGTACACGAATGCGTCGCGAGTTCCTCTTGAGACACGAACGTCGCCATGTACTGTTGGTTGGCAAAGCACGTTCTCTCGAGGTACAATTTGAGAGACGCCGAGCCGTTCGTGTCGAGACTCGCAACGGCGTACAGGCCGTCAGACTCGTTGTAAGCACCGACACAGGCACCCATTGCTGGGTACCCGAAAGCCATTGCGAACTCGGTACAGTTCTCGTCGATGTGAAGTGTCTGAAGCAGGTACGGGGAGTTGCCGAACTTGTCTCGCATGATCAGCAGGAGCTCGCTGTAGTTCGAGGAGCAATCATTCGTCATCATATTGGCGTTGATAGCACGAGAACCATAGTCGAGGTCGTACGAATCACACGCTGTGGCGGTACAGTTTTCATCCTCGTAGACCGTGATAGCGTACGGGGTACCACCACATTGGTCCCCTAGGTAAGTGGCCTGTATCGCGAACATCTTGTTTGCACTTGTCACCGCCGCTGCCAGCGCCACTAAGCCCGTTAGCAGCACTCGACGAAGCATCGGGCTCCACCTTACAGAAAGAATCAGGCAAATCGAGACTGAATTGACCAGACGAGGGGCGAAGTTTCTGGCTTCGGTGGTATGGGCTTTAAAAAGGCTGAAACCAGCAGTCTACCCACCGCCAAGAATTGACAGCCATATGAAACTCAACCGAACTTGGACAAGAACGATCTGAGCGGCTGTGAATCTAAATGCATCATATGGACCGGGCATGTTCGGCTTTTATGATATTCGAGCCACTATCTTTGGTTTACCATCTTTGGCATGCTAAATAATAACACCGATTGACATGCATTCAAGTTATATTTTTCTACATACCTTCCGCGCTAAAACGGTCTGCAGTCTATACAAGGCCTCAGCTGCACTTGGACGTTGAGTTGTGTCTATTGCTATGCAAGCTCGACCAAGAGCAACCACCGCCCTTGGACTTGCCTTGGAGAATTCAACCTGCACTTGTCCTAGCGCCACTTTCTGGAGAAGCACAGAATCGGTCATTGCACGGCCATTTGAGTCCAAGTTCTCCTTCTTCACTCGAGTATACGGTCGTGAATGCATATCGAGCTCCGACAGCACCACACCGAAGGAAAACATGTCCACTTTGTCGTCTAGCGCTCGCCTAGCATCACCTCGGGTGCCATCCACAGAGAAGTCCCAACTCCTGCAGTCATAGTGCGGCCGAGTCGTTCTCGAGAAATTCCAAAGTCCGACAGCTTTGCATTCATCTCGCTATCCAGTAAAATGTTGCGGAACTTGAGATCTCGATGAATGACTGACGGCATCATCGAGTGGAGATAGGAAAGGGCGTGGCAGACTTGGAGCGCAATGCTGAGTTTCTGTCGATCCAACCCGACATGATGGTTGTCCTCTTCGAACTTGTTCAGTAGTGTACGGAGTTCTCCACCGCCCATGAATTCAAGGACAACACAGAGATCCGATAGGGAGTCCCATGCGACGCCAACAAAGGAGACAATATGAGGGTGATCCATCGTCGCAGTCATTTTAGCCTCAGCCAGGAACTCGTTAACTCGATGCAGTTTCTCGCGACTGGCAGGAAGAAGCATCTTAATCGCAACTTCCCGTCCGTTATAGACGCCGGCATACACCACACCGAACGCTCCATTGCTGATGCGTTCCAGCGTCACGACTTTATCTCGTGGAATTCTCTTCGACGTGATGACATGGTCAGTCCACAGACCTGATTGCCCTTAACTAGCTGCTTCTAGCGCGGTTATTCGAGTGGAGTGCAATGTTGTTTCTTTCTCTTGGCGCTTCAATCGATGTGAGTAAGCGAGAAGTGCGATCAAGAGCATTGTTGATAACGCTGCTACACCGAGAGCAATTCCAATGATGCTGTCGGTGTTGAGATCTTCTTCTGGACTTCGCGTTGCTGTTGAATCTTTTTTCCCACTTACACTTTCGCCGTCGTTACTACTGTACCATCGGAACCAGTTAACGTCGCACGAGTGACCAGCGATAGTGTTCGCGTCGATGTGTTCTGTCATGTAAAGCTGCTCGAAAAAGCAAGTCCGCGCGAGAAATTCCTGATACAAAGCTGATCCATTCTCGTTGAGGTTGGCGATGACATAGAGACTGTCGGATTCGTTGTAAGCTCCAACACACGACCCAGTGGCAGGGTATCCAAAGCCCATAATGAGATTGGAGCTGTTCTCGTCAGAATAAAGTAGTTGAATCAAATAAGGCGAGCTTCCAAATTTGTCACGCGTGGTCTGTAGGTAGTCCGTCGAGCATTCACTTGTCACCAGCACTTCGCATGAACTAGAAGTGCAGTTCTTATCTTCCGCTATGCTAACGAGGTACGGAGTGCCGTCACATCCGTCACCCAAGTAAGAAGAAAAAACCGAGTACATCTTGGCTGTCACCTTGGCTTATCGGTACTACTGTGCCAAGCCCCTGCTAACAGCAGTAGCTCTCGCCACAACCAAGTCTGGAGCGGAAAGAAAGAATTGTTAGCGTCGTCACGTGAAGCATATGACTTTCCTCCAGCTGGTACTTTTATTACACCATTCATGCCAGCAAGAGAGCAAGCACATGGTCGTTTTGGTAATTTTCCGTATGAAATCCGAAAACATGGCGGATAGATTATTAATAGTTCCTTACTTTGTGTCAGTGGAAAAACGAAGAGTCACTGTAATACTACAGCATCCACAAAATATTAGTTTCTGGCCTTGCACGTAATAAAAGAGAGCTTTTGCTGGTGGAATTTATTTTTGGACCATCGGATTTGACCCTTTTTCTGACAATGGTGCTCCAAAATCGTTGCGATAGTAAACCTGAATACCGGTAATACTACAGCATGTACTTACTATTAGTTTTCGGAACCTCCACGGAATAGTAGAGAACTTTTGTTTCTGATAGTAGTCCAGATATCAAAAACTAAAGCTATCTATTACTGTACGTGCAAGTGAGCCTGAATAATATGCACTAAATTTGACGTGTTGCGAAAATACCTGTAGCTCCAGAACGCGAGTACTTTCTTCCTATTCCATGCGGGCTATGATAACTTGAAGCATGTACATCGCCTCAGCGGCGCTCGGTCGCGCAGTTGGATCGATTCTCATGCATGCACGTCCAAGTTCCACAATGGATCGCGGACTAGAATCCGAAAAATCAACCTGTACTGTTCCTAATGCTATTTTCTGGAACAGAGCCACGCCTGCCATCTTACGCCCGTTCGAGACCAAGCTTCTCTCGAAACGCTTGCGTACGGCATGGTATGAACAATTAACTCCGACAAGACGACACCGAACGAAAACATGTCGGCCTTGACGTCGTATCTCTCTCCGAGCATCACCTCTGGGGCCATCCAGAGTGATGTGCCCACACAAGCAGTCATAGTGCGATCAAGACGCTCGCGGAAGATTCCAAAGTCCGATAGCTTCGCCTTCATGTCGCCATCCAGCAGAACATTTCTCGACTTGAGATCTCGGTGGATAATGGGAGGAAAAAGCGAGTGGAGATACGTCAACGCCTGGCAAACATTGAGCGCAATCGAGATCTTCTGCTTGTCGAATCCCACCGGGCGCTTAGAAGCTTGGTATTTGTAAAGAAGCGATCTGAGATCGCTGCCTTCCATGAGCTCCAGGACGACACAGAGGTCAGAGAGCGACTCCCACGCAACGCCAATAAATGTCACGATGTGAGGGTGGTCCAACGTAGCGGTCATTTTCGCTTCCGCGAGGAATTCGTTGACATATTCGAGGCTTCCCCTTGAAGCAGGTAGCAACCTCTTGATGGCAACTAGGTGGCCGTTGAATAATCCAGCGTGAACTTCGCCATACGCCCCTCGACTGATGAGCTTCTTGACCAGAATTCTGTCCCTTGGTAGTCTTTTTGTCGTGATAACATCGTCGTTCCAGAGTCCATGCTGGCCGTGCAACACGACTATATTTAAGCTCACAGCTTCGGACGGTCCTGTCGGCCACTTCGACTGTCCTTCAATCCTCTTTACCTTCAAATAGCGTCTGAAAAATACGAAAGTCACGCTTCCAATCACGAGGGCGATAAATCCAAAGCCAACCCCGATGAGAGCATTGGGTGTTAACGTAAGTCCGTTGCGGCCAGAGTTGTCCTTATCGTCGTTGCTGCTGTACCATTTGAATTGGTTGGCGTCGCACGAATGCCTCGATAGGGTCTCCTGGCTTGCGTTTCGTGTCGTAAACCAGGAATCCGAATAGCAGGAATCCGCTGAAAATTATTCACTGAGGTGGATCCGTTGGAGTTGAGTCTGCCGATGACATAGTAGCCGTCTGTCTGGTTGAAAGAGCTCTCGCAATTGCCAGAAGCGGGGGACCCGTAGCCGAAGGCGAAAGTGGAGCAGTTTTTATCTTGGAAGTTTATCTGCAAAATGTACGGGGAAGCCCCAAGTTTTTCTCGCATTGCTGTGACGTAATCTGACGCGCACTCTATCGAAACCATGTCGACGCTTATGGTGCTTGCATTGCCCTCGAAAGAAGAGCAGGTTTTATTCATAGTGCAGGTTGAATTTGCCTCTGCAGTCACGCTGTACGGCGTGCCATCACAAGTCGTTCCGGTATAGTGAGACCTAATCGCGTACATGTTTGCTGTCGTGTACCGAAAGGCACTAGAATCAGCCAGACAAGTCAATTCATCAGTCTTGGGGAAAAATCGAAAGTGAGTTGAAAGTCAAACGCAGTGAAGAACAATAATCATTCTACAATAGGCAGAAGAAGGGTACGTTAGCATGTCACGTAAATTTCAGAACCTGGATACCCACGGCATCAATTATGGATACATCACACTCTGTGAGTGATCAGCGTCCCATGATCATTGTGAGTAATTCCACAGCCTTTGCGATTTGCTGCTCGATACAAGCCACTAAAACCTTCGTCCTGCCAATTATCACGGTATTGAATTCAGGGCAACCATGGTCATCGGATGCCTACATATACAGTGCAAGGATCATCAACTATGGTACATGATCAGGGGCTAATGGTAACCAAATATCATATGATATTTTTGATAGTAATAGTACTATTTTCGATATTAAATATTAATAGTAACTCATTTTTGCAAAAGCTAACATAATATTTTTATATTAGCTCGGAGAACTGAAAAATATTAGATACTACATGATATTTTATGATATTTTCCCACTTAAGTACGTTTCTTGCCAGCTTACCTCTGTGAACCGAGCGGAGCCAAATAACTTTTTCGATCAGGTTCTAGAAAAGCAGTAGGCTTTAAGACTGACGAGTATTTGCTCTAGTATTTCACTGTGACACAGACAAAGGCGATCGAGATGGAAAACTGCAAACGCTTGCAGCTGTTTAACGTTGATAGAGCGAAATCAAGACATTTGTTCTTGTTCTCTTCCGATCTCCTCGTCGACATCGTGCGTCTAATAAACCTGCTGCCTGTGGCGCTAGATTAATGCGCGCAGCAGTGCCAACACACAACGCCAACCTTGCCGTCACTC